CGCGCGCGCACGCGTACCTCTTTTAAAATTAATATCATTGGCAATATAATCTACTCCTTGTTGCAGTTCCAAACATGGATGTCTAACTTGAATGAGATTTAGTTCACCCTCTTCACTTGGGACCATCTTGGGACGTACATATACTTTATTAGCACTTACTGCTGCAGAAGCAAATGCAGTAAGAACATCAAGACATGCCAGCACACCACCGATAGAACGTACTGTATCATTATAGCCAGCTATAAACATAACACATAAAAAATGTATTAATAAATGTATTTTAATTAATGTATTATGTTTTAATATTTGAAATAATTTATATTTAAGAATTGACAAAAACCTGCAATTCCTATAATTTCTGTGATAACATCTTTTTGTCTCTCCAAATATTTATTTCTAGCAGCTATGAAATCATCATTTAATTCATTTAATTTATTATTTCGGAATCTTACACCAGCTTTGTTAGAATCTAAAATAGTGTAATGCTTTTTATTTCTTAATATTTTTTCTTCCTTTAATGTTATACGGAAGTAATAACCGAATTGTTGATTAGATTCTAGTTTTATTATTTTGCCTGCTTCTAAACCAAGATCATTTGCTGCCTTATTAAGTTGATCTTGTATAGTTTCCTCCGTTTCTTCCATTGCATCTTTTAATGCTGTAATATTACAAAATTATAATTATTTATTATATATATTTAAAATAAAAACTAAATAAAAAATATATATACAAATATAAATAATATAAAATATATAAATTATTGTATATAAATAATATATATACAATGTGTCAAAATTCATGCACTCTTTCTTAATACAAGATCTATTCTTATTTAAAATCTATATATCCATTATCTATTATTTGGTGCATATTATTCTACATTTTAAAAATAAATTATAATAAATCAAAATTTGAGTTACTTTTAAAATCATCCGCAAATCCTGGATTGACCATAAAATCTCCTTTCTCAGCAGCATCTAAATCAATTGTTTGCTCCACTAGCTGTTGAAATTTGTTCATATCTTCTATAAGTTCTTTTAATGGATCTATTATCATTGTTTTTAAGGCAGTCACATTTTCTTCCGGTGAAAGTTGTTCTAATAGTTTTGGCAAATACGATACACACAGATAGATTCTAAAGTATAAACATATAATAAGTATTAATATATATAATCTATGATACAATCTATAGTGTCATGTTATATTCTGCCTTGATCATAAAGAAAGCCGGTTTTATAGCAACAATAGTAGCTTACTTGTAACAATCTTGCAACGCCGATTTTTTTCTAGCCAGTTTTTTTGCCAATTGTTGCAAGTCTGGCATACGTCTCAGATAATCATCACTAAGAATGGATCTTAATTCATTATTTCTTACTAATAATTCAACAATATCATGTCGTTCTTTTATTAGAGATAAGTCTCTAAGAGGCTGACGAACCCATTGCGCGATCAATCGGTGTCCCTGTGCGGTTCTACACTTATCTAATAATGTTAAGACACTAGTGACAGAATTTCCATATAAATTTGACATTGTATCAGTATGTGGCTCGATGTTAAGAGCTTTTATTGCCGCAGAATCTAGTCTTATGTATCGTGACTGCTCAATTTGATTCAATTTAAATTGATTCATATGGCCTTCGTCTGATGTTAACTGTCAAAGAATTA